CAGGCCACAGCGCATGGGTGAACAGGTAGGTGACACCGCTTTAATCTCAAGCGTTCGTGCAGCTTGCGCTAGACAGATTCAGCTTCCCCTTATTGGATTCCCAAGGAATTGGAAGCTCAGATGGACCCCATGGACCCCATCGAGCTCTGGCTCTCCACGATCTTTGACCCTGTGACCCTTGAAGAGTGACTGGGAGGAAACATGGCACGCGCACATGAGGTTTCTGTTTGTAGCTGAACAGTTCCTTGTCAAGGAGCACATGTCATCCGTATGCTATTGAACGTTTTCAAGGGCAGTGCATCAGCTGCTTTTGTGTGATGTATTGCCCTTCTTGTTCGCTGCTTTGCAGAACCTGGCAAGCCTAGTGCCAGCTATCTCCTGTGCATTCAAACGAACAAAGTGCAGAAGAGCCAACTTTTCTCCGCAGAACCCTGATGCGGTTCTGGCATTTTCTCCCCCGCCGGTGCTGAGGCTGCCCTTCGACCTTACACAAGCCCGCAGCAGCTTGGCATCGGCAGAAGGCTCAGCTTTTGCAAAGGTCATTGCGCCTAGGAACACCAGTTAGTTGACAAAGTATGCCCATTCACAGGGCTCTCCCAATCGACATGTTCAAGCTGGCTCGGCAGGAATGAGTTTTGCTGCAAGCTTCGAGGTAAGCTGTGGCAACAGAAGCCATTCATTCACCAGTTGTCTGGGAAAAAGGGCCACTGCAGCCTGATTTGCTCACGCAAACAGTTTTTCTCAAGTTGCCTCCCACAATGCTGAGGCTGTGCACACTGATCCTCGTCTCAATGCAGATCTCATTCTGTGCTCTCATCCCAGTGGCCTGGCTGATTTGCAACAGAAGCACACCAGGTCGACCTGCAGTGCAGGTTCACTGAGCGCAGACAACAAGCCAATTTGCGTTGTTTTGCCTGCAGTGTATGCACCTTGCACTTTGTGTGTTTTCGGACCTAAGGCATTCTATGCCTGCTGCTTGCCGAGGCTGGTTGACACTTGTTTTTTTGAGCAGAGCCTTTCGTGTTATCGATGTACAGAACGTTATGCGCAGCTGATTTGCATCCACCCTCCATGAGCAATGGTTCTTCAATTTGCCGGGATTTATCAGGTTGCCCAAGTTTCGCGAAGTGCTCTTTGAGGAGCCATGCTGTCTTTGCAGTCGAACGGTGTTTTTGCTTCCCAAGGAAGTTGCGCACTGATGTGGTGAGGTCTCCAATCAGCCCATCTTCGCCCATGCATCCTCAGCCTTGCTCTACGGCTTGCCCTGCTCCGGGTGTGGCGCCGGTTCGACCTTGAGGCGTGGGTGGCACGATGCACTTGATGCATGTGGGCCACAGTCTGATATGACTTGCAGTTTGGGATTCGGTGAAAGACGTGGGCAATGACATTCCTCAAGTTCTGATTGTTTTGTCCTCCATGTTCGAGCAGTTCCATTAGCACTCCTTGCGCATGCCTTTGCAATTGGTATCCTATCCTCTTTCTTGCTGCTCTTCAGCATTCATTCTGGCGAAGGTTCTTCAGCGTGGGGCCGGGCAATGCTGCCTTCTCCTACCTCACCAGCGTGCAGCAGCTGTTGCAACGCAGAGGCCTGCGCGTGTGCGTTCCAAAGTACGAGAGAAGGTTGTAGATGGGGGCAAAAGGTCCTTGCAAGGAGATATGTATTCGGTGACTGTTGTTGTTGGTTTGCAAAAGAAACCCGCCGTGAAATATCGGCGATGGAGTTCGCAAAATAGACTTTTTTTGTGAAAGATCCGCGTTGGGTTCTTGGAGGTATGCCTGTGCACCTCCATATTTGCAGACGCATCACTCCCCTCTATATAGTATAGGGAAAGGTGCAGCACCTTTACTTGCATCCTTAGCCAAAACGTAGGCTGGGCTAGACCAAGTTAGATTCGCAAAGCAGGTTTTTCTCGCGAAGATGGCACTTTGCGCACACAGGAATGTTGACCACCTGCCAGATCTCTTTGAGGAGTTCATTCGGTCCAAGGGCACGTCCGTGGTATACAACTATATTTACCAGGGGGCACTAAGCGCAAATTGCTGCTCCTTATAGACCGAGGTGCGGCAGGTTTGGCTTGTTCATCATTTGGTTTGCTTGTCGGGTAACACGCCATCATTAGCACGCTGTGATCCCAGGCAAATTTGCTCTGGTGGCTGAAGGGCGATTCTTGCAGGAGCAGCGGCTTGGTCTGTGTTTACTTAGCCTCTCCAGGTCTGACCAAGGTCACCTTCTGCCCGTAGGCAAGAAGCATTTTCCATTGGAGATGTTCAAGGGGATTGCAATTGAAGTTGGGGTCAGCTTTATGGATTCCACATCCCGCAGTAGCTTGTCATGAAGCTGTTGTAGTTTAGTCTTTCCTGTTTGTTCCCCTGGTGCGTCACCTGCAGAGAGTTGCAATTTGTACTGCTCGCTCAGGATCGCCTACCAGGCCGACCTGAAAGTGTTCTTGGTGGCAATGACGTGTTTTCTCAGCTCGCAAAGTCTATGATGGGAATGACATGTCTAGTCCAGCCAGTTGTCTCAGATGTCTCGTGTCACAGCAGGTTGCAGCACGCAGAGCTGCCTACTTTTGTTGCACAAAACACTCATCCGGTACTCAATGAATGCGGGCGTGAGTTTCAACCGGGACCCTCTGATGGACATCGCTTGGGTGGGAGTTATGCCCACCCAATGGGGAGGATATTCCCCATTAAATATGTAGACACAGATGCATATTATGTACCTCCAAAGATAGACATATTATACCTATGGATGCATGCAAACATATTACATATGCATGTACACACCGTGTATATATATATATATATATTTATGTACCGTATGTATATATATATATACATATATGCAAATGTATCATGCATACGTGAACAGCTCCTTTCGAGGCATTATGACAGGAGCAACGTGCTGTTTGTCCCCGATTCTAGCCGTCACTGTTGGAGGTGGGCGTCCTGCCGAGCTGGGCCCCACCACTAGCACTCTACGCAGCTCGCCAGGAAGCTGTTCAACATTGAAGTCAGATTTTGCGGATTGAGTGAGCTTCATGTGGGATGCCACGAATCACTTGGCAGCATATTCAGGCAACAAACAAATGGTGTTACTTTCTACGAGTGAGCAGTACGGCTTGTTGCTACAGAGATGTGACTTTAATCATAGTCTGACTTGTATCTATCATTGTTTCATGTTGTTCCCTTCCTTCCAAGGAGTGGTTTGCTTTCTCATGTTATATCATACAGAGAGCCCCTTTCATTCCGGCCAAGCAGCGCCTCGTATCCCGCATGCAGAGCGCTTTGCTCAGTGCCGCATTGTCAAGCTACATGACTGTGGAAAGGCCCAGCTGTGCCAACACGAGCAGGGACCTTGTTCTTCCGCTTTTCCCTTTTTCAATCTGAGGCTCCTCTTGGCACCGCGAGAGCCCGCAGTGGCGCTGTGCTCGCGCTGAGGAGGGGCTGCGAAAGCATAAGCTGCACTTGGCTGCTTTGGCTTGTCACTGTCTTTTGTCCTTGGCTGCTTTGCCCGCGCTTCCGCAGGTCAAGATTCTTCTCCACACTCATGGGACTCTTGGCAGCATTGTGTTTGCCCAGAGACCATTCGCTGAGGGGAAGTGTCATTTTGGAGCATGCAGAGAACTGGCCAGCTCCTCCCTTTCGCCGTGCGCCACTTGTAGGTGACTATTCTAGGGGCCCCAATCATGGTCCCAACATCAGCACCCTGATCAATATTCATTGGCTGTGCTTTGGCCAGGTGAGCATTGGTGTGCCCTCTTTCGCGAACTTGCCCTGGGCGCAGGACTTGAGGCGGCCGGATTGAAGTGTTGCCAAGCTGGGTGTCAACAAACAGCCATCAGCCATCCAAGATCCCATCACAAGCGGTCGTCTTGTGCACCCAAGATGATACGGGTACGAGACATGACTCAAACGGCTCAAACGGGTACGAGACACTCCATGGCGCCGAAGGTCTCGCTGCTGGGCTTCCAAGAGACGCTTGGATCATTCCAAACAAGCACTTGTGATTGAGCTGTGCCTTTACTTGTTTTGGGGATGGGACTTTCACACGGGCTTGTTTGTTTCCAAGGGTTGCAGCTTTTGCAAATACTGTAGCCTTGTTTGGCGTCAGCGCTGCTGTTCAACTCAGGCAGTGGCTGAGCCTGGAAAGCATTGCAGGCGGTCCTTTCGACGTGCTTGCAACCATATTTGGCCGCGGAATTCCTTTGCAAAACTCGCAGAGAACATGAGAGCAGTTGCCAGCGTTGGGAGTGTGAGTCGCTGACGACGGTCAAGATTCAGGATAGCTTTGCAAATACAGTATGCAACAGTATGCAAGCGCGTTGACTGGAGCAGACGGATATATACGTTGCACTTGGTTCTACATAAAGGAAGTGTCAGCATCCTCAGCACCCCGTCCCTAGCAGTAGAATCTCAGTAGAACCTGTTGCAAGACAAGGGCGCACAAGCACGTACGCAGATGTGATGCCATTATATTATATAATTCAACAAGCACGAGGAGAGCAAAAGCAAAAAGCAACAAGAGCAGTGATAGCCACGGCTTCGTAGAGGCTTGGAGGTCACATCTTTCGCACAACATGCCGGCGCAGGCTACCGCGCTGCGGTTCTTTTGCCAAATGATTTGCACCAGCGGACCTTCCACGAACTCTTCCGGACAGGGGACTGCGTGTTCGAGGGCGAGATCAGAGAGCTGTCTGACATGATGTCCGTGCTAAGCATGTTGCCAGAGATTCTCAACCACGTATGAAGCGGCAGCGCCGCTCGTGTTTCTGTACAGTTGCGAATTCTACTGTTAATTAAAGATCAAACGGATGAAGACCGCAAACAACTCGCAATTCACAGTTCCTAATTCCTATGGTCTTCTTTGGTTGATGCTGACAAGGAATGCACTTATACTTAATCCACTGCAAACTGAGAGTGGGTCACAGTTGCCTAAATGGTTGCCAAGGCACATCTCCTCGCAATATGCTGTTTATGCAGGATGGCGATGCCACTTTTCCTACCTGACGCGCTGGGGATGTACAGGCTGCAGAGGGCAGCCAACTGGGGTCACTTGGCCAGCTTAGAGCCAGAAGCTGTTGAGGGGGGCAGGGGCGGGGCAACATAGCGAGCATGTTGATATATTCTTTTGAGCAATATAACTTGCTGACTTTGACATTTTCCACATGGTAGCTCCGAGGCACTTTTGCGGATTCTTTGCTGCCGCCGTTACGTTTCATAGGTATTGCTATAGACCTCGGCAACTCCAAATAACATGACATTGGCCAGCCGCTAGATTTGCCAGTGCATGGTTGATGGCATGCTATTTTGTAGACCAAGGCTACGCCTCCTACGGTGGTCGTTTGCCTGGTATGGTGAGCAGGCTGGGCAATATTGTTTGTCTTAAAAAGCCAGAGACGACTTCTGCTTATCTTGATTGTCATCGTCGAGTCAGTGTGATTGTTGATCATACGAGAGTCCTTCTAACACCCGTGTGTATTCAGTGACCACCGCTGAAGAGATGCAGAAGGGCCAGGGGTAATGACATATGGTGTGTGTGTGTGATCTGTCTTAAGACTCTCAGGATAGGCCCAGGGCCCACACAAAAACACGGGAAACGAGAAGAAGCGTGGAAGGCAAGCGGAAGACAAGCGTGCCCAGGCAACTCCTTCCCCCAAAAGCCTCCCGAGTGTTCACGTCGAACTGCCTGAATCTTCCAATGGCTTCAGAACTTCCCAGCTCCAAACAAAATCAATGCTATACATTGCACAATGCACTGACCACCTCCTTCCAGGTTTCAAAGGCGGCCGAAAACTATGAACGACAGCTAGCAACAACCCTTGCTTTAGATTTCCAGTGGGCGCGCGGAGAGTGCGGAAGGTTCACGGAAGGGCGGCGCAAGGGCGCAAGGAGCCTGTTTTTGAACAACCTGAAGTCTCGATTTCCAGGGTGTGGCAGTAGTTTTGCCATTTGCTGAGACGAAAAACCATCTACTGTTTGCTTGTTTGCACGATTGGGGCTCATGTAGATGTGACACTGTGCTTCAGAACTGCTTCCACCAGGCATCCTTTTCCGCCATGGTGGTGCACTTACAGAGCGCTCCCTGAGACAGTCCTCTATTGGCAGCAGTTCGCCGTGGCTTGGCCTGACAGGAACAGAAGAAGTGATTGAATTTCATACAAGCACTTTGCTTGTATGTCTCAGAAATGGTTTCCAGGAAGTATTCCCTTTGGAACAAGCACATTTGTGATACGCAGCCCTGTCAGCACATGCCCTAGCCATGAGGACTGGGAGCAAGCACATGTCCAGCGCTTTGGGAGCTTGCCGCAGCTGGTCCTCGATCTCTCCGAGCTCGATCTGGCGGAGGTGGGGGGTCCAAACAGCAAGAAAGCGGGCAAAACCGCTTCAAATGCCAAAAGGTGAACAACGGGCAGTGATGCTTTAATTTTGCTGTGTGTGAAGTTGTAGTCGTGGGACAGCATTCTTCAAGATCCACCAGAGACAATGCATTGTGGACAGCATTCCGTCGGCCCCGACCAACTGATCACACAAACCTGTTTGGCCCTGCAGCCATGGCAAAAGGCGCGCTTGCTGCTGCTACCTGCGGCTGTTCCGCTTCGCTGCTGCTTGTGCTGCTTGTGCTGCTTGTAGCCCTTGCCTGAGGTGTGGCGGATTCACGATGGACAGTTTGACACTCACAAACATGTGATGATGCTGCGTAAGCAGGGAGGAACATGTTCCCAAGTATCATCATCGAAGCCACCCCAACACTCAGTTGGTGAAGCCCATTTGTTCCGCGGCCTTGTCTTTTAATACACTCCTGAGTCCAAAATCCTGCGTTACTGTTGGATGTAGCTTCTTGCCCAACTGGCATTTGTTGTTTGTTTTTGTTCTTGTTTGTTTGTTTGTTTGTTTGTTTGTTTGTTTGTTTGTTTGTTTGTTGACTGCTCGGTTGTTTGCTTGCTTGCTTGCTTGCTTCGTTTGCTTCTTTGTCTTGTGAATGCTTGGCTGCATGGATTTGTTGCAGATGGCTGTTCATTTGCGGGAAGGTGAGCTCCAAGATGATGGAGAAACATGCCGAGGCGTGGACAGAGGAGAGGCAGACAAGGAGATTAGTGATGCTTTTCCCAATGCCAGACGTGTTATGTACTGTGCCGTCAGCGACCCATGAGTGCATTTTGCCCTTTGCGATTGTGACAAGCAAGACGGAATCTTGCTGCTTCGTTCACGTATTCTGCGAACCGTTTGAACATCTTTCCGACTGGGAATCGAATCTCTTTGGCTCTTGTTGCCAGTGAGAACCTCGGCAGGTGCACCAATGGGCTCTACAGGTACTGAGCCAGGAGATCGCTCGGCTGCTGTGAGGTTGCCACCTGCCTTGAGAGCCAATCCGCTTGGGTCTCTCTCTGCCCCTTCGTGCTGATTACCAAGCGCAAGTGCAACGACCCTGGCTTGGATTCGTGGGCCACGGCATGGTGTGCGCAACTTGGCTAAGATTGTATGACTCTGCATGACCCTTGGTCTGCACCAGATATCCCGGCCGAACCATTGTTAGTGATGAATGTAGGGTAAGGGGAAACGGCTTGAGCACGGGCATCGATGTCAGCACAAAGGTGGGACCTTATGACCTTATGCGGGTGTGCCTGTTGTCCTGGCATGCACCGGCAAGAACGCGGATCGACGCTTTTGATTCTGGACTCAGATATGCAATGAAGGCAGCGCTGGCGAAGGCAATTCTTGGATCAAGATGGCGAGCCTTGATTGGCTGGTGCCCAACTTCGACTCTCAGTGCAGATGCAGCACAGGTCCGATGTGTTGTGGTAGCGAAGATCAAGCAACACACGTCCATGGCAAGTTACGTCTGAACTGGTTGACCTTTATTCATGCAATGAACGTCACAGAAGCAACTGGCACCTGGACGAGCTCCTCGCAATTGCATTATTTGCCAAGCTTGGCAGCTTTGTTGTGTCCTCGCATGTCATCAATGAGAGCTGGTGAAAAGCGGGCCGGACTTCAGGGTGGCATGTTCTGGCCGTTCAGCATGTCCGAATCTCATGCATGACAAAGCAAGCAAGCACAGGCCTGGGAGGAGGGCAGGTGAGATGAGCTGCTTATTCTCGCTCAAGATCTTCTTTCCTTGTGATCGGGTTGAGTGTTGACGTGTTTCCAATTGCACGATCGCGTTGGATACATGAATACCCCTTCGGGCTGAAGTGCAATTATCCCGGTGTGACGACAGCAATGGCATGTGGGGAACTTTGGACAGTTCTTGAGTTCGAAGGAAGTGACGGAATGGTCACGTTATGAGGATGACGCCGATGCTTATCCGTTCCAGCGGCTGGCCTCTCCCAACAAGCAAGTAAGGCATGTAAAGCATGAGCCGGGTCTAGGCCTTGCAGCTATGAATGTGTGTGGACCGTGCGCACCTCATGCAAAATTGATTGACGTGGCTACAATTGACAGTACTCATGGTCAACATGCATCAGGGCAGGTTCCACTCATTTGCTGAGATGCTTCGGGGTCAGATAGGCAGGTCTGTATCGGAACTGCACAGCTCGGACTCCATACTGGCCCACCCAACCCGAGGAAGTGCTTGAGGTTAGGCTGCATTTTTGCGAGGTGCCAACAGCTACTGAACCTTCTCCCCAACATGTTTCTGCCCATCGCAGGCAGCTGAAGCTGGAAGACCAGGTCATGGCCACGAGGCAAAAGAAGGCCGTGTCCTGGGTTGTGGGATGCTATTGCCGACTGCTAAGTCTGGAGAGGGCTTTGTGGGTCAAGTCAAGTATCATGGCTTGGAGCAGACAGAGGGAAAGGTTTGCTCGTGCTAGTATGGAACGATCTCAGTGGCTGCGTAAAGCAGAGGAAGACCACTGAAACCGTGCAGCATGCATCCGCTTCAGGGTGGTGCTGACGTACTGTGCTTGACGCGGGAGGATGCGCCAGGCAGGGCTTCCAACCCCTCCTTGGCTGAAGCCCATTGCCATGTGCCCAGTGAGCCCCGGGACTCAGGTAGAACCGCGATGAGAATAGCAGTTCAAGGGGTGCTTTAAGGCAAACCAAGTGCATCCCATCAAGCAGGAGGCTCTTGCACAGCTTGACATCCGCAAATGATCCAGGCGGCGGCAATTCCACTTTCGGCGTCGCGCTTAGCCTCGCATAGAGTTCAAGGCAGACATCCATTCAACTCCAGAGTGAGGGTGCAAGGCACAAGTAGGTGGGGATAATACCACAATGATAAGTCTGTCTCAGGTGGCTTTTTCCTGGACAGCTTAGACTCCAGCAGTGCGAAAACCTTCTTGCAGGCAGGTTTTGCAAGGACATTCGAAGCTTGATCTCACGTCCTGCAGGCTGCCCCTACAATCATCAGAGTAGGGATAGAGCGCCAACTCAACCTGCAAGTTTGAATATCCTTTGAGCACTTCAAGAACTTACTTTGCTTGTAAAGGTCAAAGGCCACAACCCATCCTCCACTTCTCCAGGGATGCCTGGACCACAACGGCCCAGTTACCCTCAAGGCATCCCCCAGGACGGGAACGTGCGCATGTCAATGTGTGTGTGTGTGTGCGCGTGTGTCTGTGTCTGTGTCTGTGTTTGCGGTGCTGCGGCTAGCTGAGCTTTGACACTTGCGCCTTGAGAAGGCTTTTTAGGTTACTCAGCGTCACCTTGTATCTCTTCGCATCAATTCGTATGGCTCAAGTGGAGGACACCACCTTTAGCCTTCTCCAAGTCTACCACAGCCATGCAGAGCCCAGGCCCTCAGGTGACCGAGCTTGCGCAGCAGCGCTCTGTGAGTGCTCTAGTGGCACGTGCGCGTGCACGAACTGCTGGCACAGCAGTGCCCTTCAGTTCGCACGGGTTGGTGGAGAACTCCGAATCTGGACGTGGATACACCCTGGGCCGCGAGTACCCCACAGCAGGCAGTGGATGCATGCTCACCAGCGTTCTGGCGCCTGTTGGGGTGAGCCTCACCTTCTGTGTCATCGTTGGGAAGTCGCTCCATTTGCTGGGCAAGTGAGCTCTAGTCACATGCAGTCCCTCTCATGAATTCGCCTGCCCTGAGGATTTGAGGATTTCTGGCTATTGTACAGCTGTGCCATGTCTGCGGAACCGGATGTGCTCATGAGAGCTCATCCGCAGTTGCAGGTTCATGGCATTTCTTGACATGTATGCTTTGCTTTCTTGGCATACAAATTGCTTGTAGCTACCCATGTTAGCAACATGCAGGACCAGATTTCCAGTTGCAATGCAAAGGAGGAAAACCACCACGCCAAAGAAAGATCACCATTGGCATGCTTTCACAGATCAAGTTGGAACCGTGCCACTGAGGAAGTTGACAAAATTAGCTGGTTAGGAAGAACTGATCTATTGAACCAGGAGTAGATTTGGGTTCCGTTTTCGTCAGCATTTGCAGCTGGATGAGCTTCACGTCCTCCAGCCAAGTTTACTAGCGCGGCTGCTAGCAAAATCGGATGAGAGACAAGAAGCTTCAGAGCTTGCCCTTCGCAGGATCAAGGCGAGACCCTCCAAGCCAAAGAAGGCAGGGCCGTGCTCAAGCACCCAGAAGTGTGTGGGGGAGACGAGCGGATACTGTGAAGGCTCAAGACTCTTGAACGGAGGATTCGAGAAATGTAGACTTGGGACTGCATCCACATGACAGATGCAGGTGAGGGAACGCATTTCCAGCAAGCTTCCAATCAAGGATATGCAGTGTGTGTGTGTGTGTGGGTCAAACAGTTGGCGCCACTTCCCGGATTGATCAAGAGGCTGGGAGCGAATTGGTTTCTAGCCCACGTCAGGCCGTGCCAGATCCTGCCCCAGCCCCCCGGCCCAAAAAGCCATCGCCATCTCCGTCCCCAAGGACGGCGGGGACAGAGGTAAGATGGAGGAGGGAGGCTGAAGATGACTGAAGGTCTCAGAAAGTTGCAAGCCATGTCGCATTGTAGGCAGGTGTGAGCAGTCCAACCGCTTGCTGTTTCATTTCTTTCTGCATGGTAGCAGGCCAAAAGACGAGACAGAACCTGACTGCCGGCATTGGTCATTGGGTCCAAGCCTTGCCAGGAAGGCCAAGGTGGACCAGGTCGGCTCTCGGGATTCCTTGGAGAACGAGGAGCCCCTGTTCGAAGCTGTGGAGGAGGGAGACGAGGAGGAGGAAGAGGAGGACGAAGGCTCCATCCGAATGAAGCAAAGCCAATTCTTGCAGCTTTGATGCGCTGCGGTCAATCCACTTTGCAAACTGACTAAAGCTCATCTAATGAATCTAGTTTCTGAGTTTAGCATGTTTAGCCTTTGTGAATTGACCCCACGCCCTACCGCACACTTCAGGGGGCGACGAAGTGGAGCTGTGAGCGGTGAAACGAGGAGCTTTGCAGGGATGCCTTGCACGGGGCTTCTCGTGAGTCCAGCGTTAAAAAGTTTAAAGATGAGCAGTTCACTGGGGCGCCTTCCCCAACGCACCACGAATGCTCTAATGTTTTCAATCCGTGTTGACTTGCATAGCTAGCTCGCGATGAGGTATTTCCGTTTTGCGCGCTTCGAGTCTTGCAGTTGCCACTTTACCACAGCTTTCAGACGGCTTTCTTTTGCCCCAACAAGCGCGGCAACAGTTCGTTCCACTGCATGTGGCTCAAGCAATCGCCGAGGCCATTTTGGCTCAAGCAATCATGCAGCCTGAGCGGACACACCCTCTTCTACTTGAATTGAAGCAACCCATGGAAAAGAGAGGTGAATTGGTTCCGCTCGCGAAGGAGGACACCATGGATGGGGATGCTGGAACTTGCGGAAAAAGTATCCTCGACAAACCCGGTTGATGTCCTCCAGGCTGGGAACACAGTGCAAGAGGCCCTCGACAACTTGAGCATCACCGCCACGGTGAAACTGGATGTCTTTGAATACTTGTTTTCGCTTCTCCTGACTGTGGTGCTTTTGGATTTCTTTCCGGGACTCGTTGCCGCAGGAATCACGAGTGAGCAGAGGGACCAACATGTGGTGAGTGAGGCTCCAGGTGCCCAAACTCGGCCTTTCTGCTTCATCGCTACCAGCCGTGAAGTGCAAGATCTCCTGTGTAAAGGCGATCTACAGCAAGACCATAGATGACTTGGGGCTCAAACAAGTTGTGGAGAAAAGGGCCCTCTACAAAGAAGCTGAAGACAGTCCGAAAGCGAAAAGAAGCTGAAGCTCGCCGAGGAACAGGTCAACAGGTCAGGAACTGGGCGTTTCCGAATCCGCTGGTGAGAGAAAGCAACAGGCAAGGGCCTGTCAGCCATTGTCATTTGACAAGGGCTTGCTGACTTCTTGATCCTGGCGGCGCTCTTTGTTTTGACTGTCGCGAAGAGTAGCTTGCGTCCGCGATAGGCGGCTGAAAGCGTGCCGACATCATGGCAGGACATTGAGCTGTCAGACGCATGCCTTTTGATGTACATTGGAGGCCCCCCCGGCGGTGCACTGGGTGGACAGGCAGAAGGACGGAGTTACCACTCAATGCCTATATTGAAGAATGTTGATGGCTCTTAAACGTGTTCTTGGGCGAGCCACTCAAAAACTTGAGCGTAGGGGGGTTGGGCACGCCGCTCAACACTTTGCGGGTGGAACAAAGGACACGGAGTCGGAGGTGGAGACGCACAAGGGTGACTTCAAGTCGGCGTGTCGGACTTGGCCAGCGAAGGCAGCCCGGGGCAGCTTGACAGAGGTGCCCAGCGAGGAGGAGGCGTACGTGGAGCCGCCGTGGACAAGCCGTCAACGAGGCCCGTCGTGAAGCAGGAGGTGCAGGGGGAGACGCGTGACCATTTGGCCGCCTTGTGGACGGGCGTTGGCTGTAGCTTCCTGCCAGCCCACGACGTTGATCGAAGCCAATTGCTTGTCATCTCCCCAACCAACGCTCACTAGCTCCATACTAGTGTTCAGGACACGCAAAACGAGCGAGCGTCTGGCAACTTTACTGCCAAAATTTAGTGCTTTCCGGCAACAAAGCAGCATACCTCGCACGTCTCCACATAGTGCCGTACTTTCTAGCCAAAAGCAAGTCCAAATCCTCAGGCTCTATATGCTTGATATTTTCGGCGCCGCTCCAGTCCGAACAGATCCCACAAAAAACAATGATCAATATTTTTGTTTGGTATTCATTTCATGGGTCATGCTGGGAATTTGGAGCAAGCGTGTGGCCATGATTCTTCCCTTGGTGCAGGGAAACGCGGCTAGCAAGAACTCCTTTCCTGGGCTTGCGTACACTCATGTAATGTGATGACCTGCAAGCCTGGGCCAAACGCCCGAATGAGTCCAATGTTGCCTTTGCTCGTACGACGCGATATGTCGCTCAGCTTGAGAGCCGCTGCGCAAGGATGTTCAAGGCCCACCGGTTTCTCACTTATGAAAGGTCACATGTGGCAATAGCAGAACCCCCAGCATGTCTGATTGCGTGACTGGTCGCCACAACCTTTTTTAGGCCAAGGAAACCCCAACGAATTGCATTCCATGTGCCGGCTCGAACTGAGCAGCTTTCGCTTGGGGCAGCCACACGTAGCTACAAGACGCTTTGCCAACATGCTGTCAAAACACGGCGGATGCCCAAGTGATTGCAAGGAGACGATAGTTGCCCCCCTTTGGCTGGCGTTTTTTCTGGAAAACTTCAGGCCTGTCACACGAGCAAGTCGATGGACTAAGCACTTTTCAGTTTACATCCTTGCGCATCTGTCAAAGCCATGGGTCGCAAGGCCGGCCTGCAGAGCTGCGCTTTGATGTATTTGTTTGAGCTGCTAAAGGTTTCCCACCCTGTTTTAGCACGCTTCAACTGCCTGGATTTCAATGCAGCCGTGATGCCAGAACACAACGGCAAGCGAGCAGAGGCCAGCCAACAACGCAGCGACATCATCCGTGAATCCTCGATGGCAGTCTTCGTACCACCCTCCTTCTTGTGCCAATTGTTGCGCTTCACTTTTGTCCCCTGTTGCCAACACAGGCTTGTGGTACTGCAACCTTGTGCAATTGAAGCAGCACCAAACAAGCCCAAAGCTTGCAACAAACACAAAACAACAAGAGAAGTGGGCGTAGAACAACTTCTACATGCGACCTGAACATCTTGGCAGGTCGACATAGCTGGCTTCTCCCCTCGCCTTCACAGGTACTTGCAGTGAAATTGAGGAGCATCTTTCTATATCTTTCCATCAATTCTGCCTGATGATTAGAATATAAGCGTCGCACACCGACTCAGTCCAACTTCTTTCAAGTTTGCCTCCAGAGTGGGGCCCACACAGCGGAGCTGTGTTGAACAACTTCTAAGTTGGTATGACTTTGGGGTCCCATGAATGTCTTTCAAAGCCGGGGGCAAGCGTGCAGAAGTGCTGGTCAGGTGCTGGTCCGGTAGGTAGCCAATTCTAGGGTTTGAGTTTAGACACAAATCTGCTCAATCTCACCACACATACCACTTTTTGATGGCCATTTGTTTTGGTTTTGTTTTTCTTTTGGATTTTGGTTCGGCAGCACCGGTGGCTTTTCTGGCTTTGGCCGCTTGTCGCAGGTTTCGGTGGCTTTTGGCGGGTTGGGGCGGCTTTTGTGCATTGTCAACCTAAACCAATCCGACATACAAACCAAGGCTAACCCTGAAAGGACACCAAACGAGTTTGCTGATCCTCGGCCAGGCGCCGCGAGTCCACGTGTGCATGGATACCGATGCATCCTTGCGTCCAGCAGGACCGCAAAGGATTTCGTTCCTGAAACGCAGGACGTGTACAAGAAAGAGGTCCCTGGCTAGACAGTCAAAACCAACAGAATATCGACTTGAGCGGGTGCACTGCGCAAGGCCCAAGTAGTCCGAAGCTTTGCAGGTCGAGAAGATGCAGAGCTGACTTTGACACCATTAAAACACTTTAGTGAATGACAGCATCAGCAGCATGAGCTGCAGGAAAGCGCTGCGCTCCAATGGGGACCTTGCATTTGCCTGGAACTATGCAGAGGCGTGATGCCGATGTTTGTGATCTCGATTTGCATTTGACTAGCAATGCAAGCCAAGTGCAAACCGCACAC